GTGGGCGAATAATAACCTACACACACATAAATACATGTATCGTATCAGGTAGGAAATATATTCATGAGCGTACAGTAATGAAATAAAATGTGTAAAAATAGTTGTTTCACCACACAAAAAAACAGTAAAATGTATAAACTGCAATGCATGCTGGGAAAGGATATGGTTTCTGCAATCACTCATTTTCGGTACATCTTTCTCCAAAATCCTAAACGCACATATACCCTAACAAAAGGTGGTTTCACAAAATAAGGCCGGCTTTAGAGTTATCCAAATTTTAGGCAAGCCTAAATTTGGTGTGTGAACAGAAACCTAAATATTTAGGCCAGCCTAAATAAGCCACGCCTGGGAAGGGATGCAATGGCCGGCCATAATTTTAATCCTCAAGTTAGGCAGGTCTAACTACAGTATGAACAAGTTGACTAAATATGCATATCAGGTTTGTGAGCTTTGTTGAGAGTCTCAAAAACTTCTCAAAATCTCAACACCGAAGTCTGCGAGTGTGAAAAGAGCCAATTTGAATGCTGATAAAATGAAATCATTGATATGGACTGAAGACCAAATTCAACACAAAAGACATAAAAAGAATAGATGGCAGCCTAGTTAGATGATATTGAAATAGAGAGAACAGCAACACAAGTGAAAAGAAAGTTGACTCATGTGGCAGTATTTTAAAGTGAAAGTTAACAATCGTAGTGGCTGAAAGAGCAAGGCTTGCAATTTTTTCTCATGTTCTTAAAACTATTTGTGTCTACCAAAATATTGTCTTGTTATAGTATCAAGTCACTGTCACTGAGTTTCTGTTAAACAGCTAAAAAAACAAACCATATCCCTATTCAAATTTAACAGTTCATCTGTGGGAGAACTCCAGGATGTTCTAAGACACCATTTTGATGATCAATACAAAATACGCCTTTGTCAAGAATGGTATGTACATACAGACAAATTTCGGAGAAACAACATGTTGAGGTCCACTATGTTGGATACTTCTGACGTAAAAATTCTGCATTCCAAAGAAAAGAGGATGCTTTACGCTGGCCTAAATAATGAAGTTTTGATTGTGTGAAAACGAACCAAACTTTAGTCTTGTTTATTCAACTGACAACAAATTTGGGCTAGCCTTAGGCAAGCTAAATGTGAAACAAGCTAAAACAAATTACAAGACTGAAAAATCGGTTAAAAGTCCGCTGTTTCTTCCATTTATTCATCCATTTTTAGGGTACCATTGTATGGTATTAGGAATACAACAAAACAATACTTGTATAAATTAAATAAATAAATATCAAAACTTTTTTGTGTTTTGTGGTAATGTGTTAGACCTCAAGTTTATTTAGGTTTTGTTTTAATGTACATGTAGTAGGCATGGAGCTTGCACTCAAAGACGCAAAGGCTTAGAGTTTTTTGGTCAGATTTTACCCAAGTAGCTTTGCGAAATGAATGTATTCCCCATTTTTTTTTTTTGATTAAGAAAACAAGCTGTTATGAAAGTTAACAACACTTAGTGCCCTACTTGCTGTCAAGCTTCAAATGATATTTATCTCCATAATACTAAATCTGAAAATTTAATTTACACAAACAAAAAAATTTGGATTTTTATTACTAATTATATCCAAGTGTAAAGCAAAAAGATCTCACAAGATTATAAATATTTTACAAATAAACAATTTAACCGTGTAGCTTATTTCTATTAAATTAAATAGCAACATTTCTGGATAGAAGTGAAGTTTTTGTACTGTGAGTACTGGTATGTAGAGGTTATTGAATATGTCTACAGCGAGCCGGCGAGATTCCAAGCGAGAGACTGGGAGGGGAAAAAATGAAATTCAATGCATCTACAATAAGAACTGATAATGACAGCACTTTTTTTTTGTGAGAAAATGTAAATATAAACAACTCTTTGTAGTTTAACTTCAAGGACAAGAGAGCCGGCAGTTAGACTCTGAAATACGTGCCATTCTCAAATGGACTGACCTTGTCTGACCCAGCCGGGCTCACAATTTCCACAGCTCAGTTACAATGGTTTATTTGAACTGACTTAATATCTAGAAACAGACGACAAACTCGGAATTTGTTCGAATATATTTACAAAGGGTCTTCTTGTTAATATTCTAGTCATACTGATACGTCACAAAACCTACCTGTAACGACACAGGGAGCTGAACCCGATGGGCCAGAGAAAAACTCTGTCGCAGTGCTACCGCCATCTTGCAAAAATTGTTATTTGTATTGCGCATGCGTGCCGGATTTTTTCTTTGATTCGTACTACTTAGACTGGTCAATATTTTGTTTTAAAAATGAAATATGTTACTTAGGCAAAAAATGCTTCATGAGTATTTAAACTTGTATTATCAGATTATTTATATGTATATATGTACATTCTGTTACCACTTAAAGAATATAAATACTGGAAAATTAAATCTTTTCAATTTAATTCATAATCTTAACAATTTGCATTGACCGACCTAGAGGGTCTCAAAAGATGGCGGTCTCAGGTCAAATGTGAAATTTAGTTCGACTGAGTTGCCGATTCAACGATCGCTTAAGATTTCCGTACGGATGTTTTTATTATGACAATGTTGAAAACAAGAAGTTGAATGAACGTATATATGTTATGAATTGTATTCACAATGAATATTAACTGAGCAATTGTGAATAATTTAACGTTGCGACGCTGTTTCAGCGCAGTTCAGTTGACGTTTCAGGAGACGATATCATTTTCAACGCAACATGTTGGAGGGGTTGGCTGCATGGGTTTTAAACACCTATGTCGGTGAATATTTGGAAAATTTGAACACGGACCAACTGTCAATCGGTCTTCTACAAGGTAAGTGATCCCGAGTTTGATGAACGTCATCGTACGTAACACCGCGTCGCAAGCCCGATCATCTGACGCTGAATATTAAATATATATTTTTATTTCTTGTGAATTGACAACAACCGATGTACTGTCACAGTTACCACCATTCTGACGTAACGCTACATACATTTACGATATTTATAAAATTTTGTTAACAATACGATATATGATCATAATTCATATTTATGTCAATATCCTCTATGACATGGATGTCTGCCACCAGGTGACGCTCTAAGAGTAATCCTGTCTATTTGCATGTGCGTGTCAAACGGGATTAGGGAGCCGAAACAGTATTGTTATTCAAATACCAGCTGCAATTAATGTAATATGAGACCTACTGTGCCTGTGATTTCTGTTTATTTGTGGACAAATTTTTTGTGAAGTTACATGAAATTGAATGTCACTGAATTTGAAAGCCTTCCCCCAGTGCTTACACACTTCTCCTCTTCCCCTAGGGTTGGGTTTTGTGTCAAAATATATGCCTCTTGTATGGGGAATAGTGGCACTTGTTCTGGAGATATTTTAACTGTGACCCACATGTTTTTTAGCAGGCTACGATGACATCTGAATCGCACCTAATCACGTTACATCAAAAGATTGGTAGTGATATGAAATATGAAATTTAGATGTTTACCTTAATGCCTCACTAGAACACAAGACAAAGTTATCAATTTCACCATCAGATCAAGACCAAAACCAAGCTGATCAATAACAGTATAAACATTGACATTTCAACCTAAATTTCATGCAAAAATTCAATGTGGGTAGTCCGCTGCTTAATTTAGAATTCAATAAAAAATGCATGCTAAAAGGCTTTGCCAGAAAATTAATTCACAAGCAAAATGTTTTTTTTTTTTTATATATTTTGTGGTAGACATGAAAATCATGCTGTTCCCTTTTTGTGTCATATACATAACACAGATCAAAATTAAGGCCTGTCCACCTGTCCCAGACAAGCAGATTTTAGCTGAGACAGGACAGGTACAGGTACATGTAAATGAACAAATTGACTGTTCCTGTGGATAGGTAAATATTGATAATAAGCTTATCACTAACTGACTAAAGAAGTAGTCCCAAGTTTCTGAAGTCCAGATAATTGCTTTCAGGGTTTTCAAGATTTTAATTACATGTATAAGGAGTTACGGTACAGTATTTGTCTTACTAGGGACAGATACACATGTACATCATCAATTGGATCTGGCACTTTTATTATCCAACCTGTCCTATGGTCAGACAAGTCAGCCAAAATCTTCTCTAGTTTTGTTATGTCTTGGTGCTAAAACAAGAAACGGCTTTGATGACTTGTCTCAATTTTCAATCCAGATATCAACAAATGCAGTAAACTTGAATTGATGGAAAATCCAATGATGATCAGAAAAAAAAGTTGTTTATACATGTACAATGTATATGTGTTTCTGTTAATAAAACAATTTACAGGTAATGTCGTCACAGCAGAGCACGAGCTAGTGTTGATCAGTGAGGGACATTTCTAATCTGACATTTGCATGCTAGTTGGCAAAAATGTAAACAATATCCAAAATTAAATGTGGTTTTAGTGTAACTGTGTTGTTGGCTGAGAAGTGAAGGGAGTGGAGTGGGAGGAGGGTGTCCATGAAATAAAAACAATCATATGCCTTGATGATTACAATGTAGGTTATTTGTCATTACCGGTACATCGTAATTACGTAGATAATGGGAGAAGAGTAACAGCTGTTGGTTTGGTTCAAAACAATTGCATGTGTTCGTGTGGAGCTAAAAACATTTTGATTGGCATAGGTGATTGATATCTCAAGCTGTGTGGTGATTGACAGTACCTTGTATTTTATAATTTTTAAATCAATCTGTGCTGTTTGATAATAGTGTTTATTCCAAGGAATGTACAAGTTCAGGGTTCTAAATTTTTAATAAAATAACCTGCATTGATGCTGTCTGGATAAATATAGTACAGTCATCTTCGGACATAACTTAACTTCCAAACTAGCTAAGTGTTAAGATACACTCTGTTACCCAAGGGTTTCAGTAAGAGCCGGCCGCTGGCCATATGGCCTGCTACAAGCCTAAATTTTCCATCTACTCTCAGCATCCTCAACTGCCCACGTCGGTCTCACTGTAGTGCTTCGCACTGCTGAGAGCCTTTTTCTTCTTTTTTTGGCCTGTTGTTACAGGATGATGGCCTGCTATTAAATGCATTTGTTAAACCCCTGGTTACCGGTAACCTCATTTCATCATAATTATAATAAAAATGTTACAAAATTGTAATAATGTCACATAATTGTAATAAAAATGACACAAAATGTG